GATACATGTTCTCTGTCAACAAATACAATTTAGCATTAACTCAATGCTGGTGGACTTTTTTTCATATTAATTGTTAAGCAATTATTATGCCCCTGTAAACGAAGTTTCGGGGAGTATATAGTTTTTGTCGTGTCTGTCCGTCTGTCTGTTCGTCTGTTCGTTCGCAAAAACTTTAACCATGCACATAACCTTTGATTTAGTAGAACAATGACTTTCATATTTTATATGTGCATTCCTTGTGGCAAGACCTTTCTTCGGGTACCACCAAATTTGACCTTTTGACCTTGACCTTGGATTTTGACCCACTTTTACAAAAAAATCCAAACTTTTACTCTGTCCATATTTTTTGAACAGTAGATACCTGGACTTTAATATTTCATATATATATTCCTTGTGAAAGACCTTTAGGTTGGATACAACAACTTTGATTTTTTCACCTTGACCTTGGAGATTTTCGTGCTTATGAAAAAACTTTAACCTTTACCATAACTTTTGAACAATAAGAGCTAGTGCTTTCAAATTTTATATATGTAATTCTTGTGGGAAGGTCCTTCTTTGGATACCAAGAACTTTGATCCTTTGACCTTGACCCTGGAGTTTGACCAATTTTTAAAAAGGAAACCTTGACCATAACTTTTAAAGAGTTAGGCCTAGTGCTTTCATACTTTACATATTTAATCCTTGTCATAAGACCTTTAATTTGATATCAAGAACTTTGCCCCTTTGACCCTGACCTTGGAGTTTGACCCACTTTTTAAAAATTTTAACCTTGGCCATAACTTTTGAAGGGTTATGGCTAGGGCTTCCATACTTCACATATGTATTCTTCGTGGCAAAACCTTTCATTGAATACCAATTTCCTTGACCTTTTGGTCTTGACCTTGGAGATTTTCGTACTAATTAAAAAACTTTAACCTTGGCCATATTTTTTGAACGTTAAGGGCTTGTGCTCTCATACTTCACATAAGTAATCCTTGGGAGAAGACCTTTTGACCTTTTGACCCTTTGACCTTAACCTTGGAGTTTGACTTACTTGAAAAACACAAACCTTGACCATAACCTTTGGAGGGTAAATAAGGGCTAGTGCTTTCATACTTATTATGGTTAAAAACTTTAACCTTGGCCTGCTTTCATATATCCCAATTGTATTTCCTGTGAGGATACCCTACTTTATGTACCAGTTTTATTAAATTTGCATTTAAGAAAAGTTTAATCTTCGCTATATTGCCATACGGAGGCATTAGTGTTTCACAAACACATCTTGTTTTCAAACTGGATTTTCTTTGGATTACCCATTTTTGGATTGGCTGGATGCGCCGTTCCTTATTGAAATGAGACAGATTTCGTAGGTCCCTTAACAAAAAAGTACAGTAAACTATAATTTACTATGGTTTAAAGTTAAACTATAATTAATCAAAGTATTTTTACTGTAAATTTCAGAGTGTTCTATCTTATATTTAATCAATCCACTTTCTTACATTAAAAGGGAGTTTAACTTGTATGTTTGCATATTATATTATTTTAAAAGGTACATCATTGGTATAAATGTAATTAAATATAAATTCTTAAAACTTTAAAAAAAGGTTCTAGAATACAGTTTCAAAGTAAGTCATGGTATTTACTAAAATTGATATCCTTAAGATTTGTCAGAGGAATCGAGTTCAACTCTGGGTTGGGGCAGAAGTTGATATACTTATGAAAGTGAATTTCTTTGTACTTAATACTCCTTCACTAAGGGCAGGTATATTGATTTAATTGATGTAAAATCTGCTTTATATATTATTTTATAAAGGAGATATCGAATTTCCCTGCGCAAATACGCTGTTTATTGGCATGAAATAAAATTGGAAGTGACCTTACAAATCTTAAAATGATATCAATTGCATTTTACACTGTGTGTTACAGGGCAATTGAGTTTACCTGTGTAATAGAATAACTAAAAAAATGGTATAATATGATATAAAACATTTATAATAAATGATTACAGCAATCACAAAAATGATTAACAAATTGTCTTACAGAGTTATAAAAATATAGGAAAAATTTTGCCGATTCGATATTACGAGGGTTGATCCAAAAGTAATGTCAAAACTTCGATAAAATCGATGCTAGTTGACGTAAAACAATAAAATCATTAATGATAGAAGAAGCTGCATTTAGTTCAAATCATACCTGAAAATTTCTATTCAATATGATATATACTTTTCAAAATATCATCGCATTATACACAACGTGCGATTATGTGGTCGCCGCACCTAAATACTGTGAACAGGGAAATTTTCGCCCCAGTTTTATTTTCGCCCCTTTCGTCGTAACCTCGGTTGGGCGAATTTAAAAAGAAGCGATTCCAAAGAACACAGTATAATTTCATAAACAAAACTGTGACTGGGCGAATTTAAAACGGGGCAAAATTGTGTGCAAGGGTAAAAGGGCGAAAATAAAGCGGGACGAAAATAACCCTGTATACAGTAACATCATATGACGGATATGTTCCCTCATACATTCAAATGTTTCCCTTTTCGTGTTACTAAAAAAAAATACTTGAGATTCATGAACACGTTCACTAATTTGACTTTCTTTAGAAATTCTCGAGTACCCATCGTACACTCACTATTTTCATAATTAAGTCCTCTAGCTGTCAAAATTCTTTGAACAGTAGCATAAGGCAAACTTAAAATTTTACATGTCTCTTAAACCATCTGAATTTTTGTTACAACGTCGGACATCATTGAATGTTTCCGTCCGACTTGCCATCTTTCGGTCTTCTTGTCCTCTGCTAATCATTCAATGATCCATTACTCGTCCAAATCTACTGAAACCATCTAAAAAGAAGTATCTTATTTACATTATTTCCTCTTATTAATCAACGTAACTGTCTTAATTGGCAATCTCTCCATTTTGAAGGAAAAATGCATTACAGCTAGTCGCGGCGATTTTTCTTCCATTTCCACAATTCCTTTGTTCAATGCATAAGAGTAAAACAACAGTGTTCATGATCAAAGTTATAAATGGCGTCATTTAATCTTCAACTATGGAACGCCATCACTCCCTTATAGCATAAAACTATGCATTTATTATCATTATGTGATGTGAATATATTTTTACATTATGACAGTTTTTATGAGGTGATGTAAAATATCTTAACGTCATGTCAATGCTGCATTACGTGAAGTAAATATATTTTCCCGTTATGTTAACACTTTATAACTTGAAGTCAGAAGTGCATTATGTGAAGTGAAAATATTTTTACATTGGGTTAAAACTTTAATATTTAAATTTCCAAATAATTTTCCTTAGATTCTTTGCAAAAAGGAAGAATGTTTATTTTCTCATGAACTATCATGGATCAGTATGAATATCTCCATTGTTACGTCATAAAACTGCACTTGACGTCAAAACTCTGATGCCAACTATTTTGCATTAAAAATGACAGTTGAACGGCATGAATTTTGTGGCAAATCATCAGAAAAAAAATGTAAATATAAGAAATGAATTTAATTTTTGAACATTCATGAAGTATATGAACTACAACGCTTCACACCAGCATATAGCGCATAAGCACTGTAAATGTACGAGGGCTGTTCAATGAATAATGTCCTCGGTGCCCAGAAAGAAGCAAAAGACGCTTTTCAATGATTTAGTCTTCATGATTTTACTTATTAATCTCTTTTAATTAAAACACATGTCCGTAACATTTTTTATCCAATTTCTGATTGTTTTTAGAACTCATTTTTGGGTATGACCCTTAGTATACTGGAAAATGGCATATCCAATGATTTCCTGGACTTGTTTCTTCCTTCTGAAAGGTGTTTTTTTTTTTCAAGTTTGGAAATAGAAACAAGTCAAAATGTCAAAGATCTGGCGAATATTGTCAATGTGAAAAAGCATTAACTTTCTGTTTATCCCGAAAACCCCCTTACTCTTCAGGGCATGCGGGTTTGGACGCTGTCATGAAGAAATTCCGTGTAGTGGATTCCTGATTCTGGGTCCTTCCTCTAACAAACCTTTCGATTTTTTTTTTTTTGCAAAAAAATGCTTTCTAGACTCCTCCAGAAATTAAACTGTCTCCCCGAATACGAATTTCAACAACAAAACCACTAATATTTAAGAAAATTGCATATAAATCTGTCTTTGTGCTCTTGCATACCTTTGCTATTGTCAGACCTTCGCTGTTTTTATCAAGTACATCTTATGGTAAATTTTGTTTTGAGAGTTTTCAGCAATAGATTCATGCTCCAATATCAGTTTGAATATAAAATAAACGTGGATAACTACAATTACTGATATTTTAAAATAATTGTTAAGACTTTCGTACATGCTGTCGTTTTCAATCATTTTTCAAAATATACATGACGGCGTTCCATATTCGGCGTTCCATATTCAACTAAAGACTAGAAAATGACGTTAGTATTGTCTTTAAAAAGGTCGATTTTGGCCGATTAGTCCTTTTTTCGATACTTTTTAATGTTATGGTCTTTTTCATTGTAAGAAAAATACACTTTAAAACGTGACGTCTAGCTGTGATGCGGCGACACCCCCTTTGTTATAGGTTTTGAACATTTATAACATAAATTAAATTTAACATTATTTAATGAAAATTTCAGTGTTAATTAGATTTATATATATGTACGTATGTGCATCTTTTGGTTTATTATATTTGATAATATGACGCCAAATATGAAAGCTATGGACACTATGACATTGCTTTTGGATCAGCCCTCGTACAATTGTCAAAATGTTTTTTTGATATTTTTATATAGCTAAACTATTTACAGCAAGTATTAAATTAATTGATCAGGAGGCTATTATTATTCCTTAATAAGGTGAAAATATAAATGAAAATATTCATGAAGACAATTATCATTTGGTTTTCCAAAAGATTTATTTAATTTTTTTTTATATATTTTTTCTTAGAAAATTATTCAACAAGGAAACTGTTTTAAGACGCACGGATTGGTTGATGCAGGTACTCTGACAGTATATAAAGCCTCATTCTCGACCATCTAGTCATCTGCAGTGTCCTAAATCAACATGGGAAAGCTCTTGGTTATATTTACCGTTCTCTGCCTGGTGGCCATGACGACCGGTAAGTATACTATCAATTTTAATTTTCAAAATAAAACTAGCTATAAAATATTTTTTTGTTCTAGTACTATGTTAGTCTGTGCTTTCAAAATTTATATGTAATATAAAACAACAAAAAATAAAGAAATGTTGAAATTTTTAGCCTGATACGTTCAAACTAGACTCTTGTTAACATGGAAACAAAAATATTTTTTTTGTTCTAGTAGGGTTCAATGGTACAGTATTCTAATATAATATATAAATATAAATAAAATATAATGTTAAAAATACCTACAGGTAGTGAATCCAATAAAATTTGATGTATATATTGTTTGATTGGGATTCGCTGGAGAACCCAATTATGTTCGAATCTGTATTAACACCTTGATTTATATATACAAGTGGTCTATATGGAAAACAAGAAACAGCATCAAGTATGAAAATAAAAATATTACAACTTCAGTATTCTTGACAGAATTTAAGACAGAAATGAAATTAATCTTTCAACTCTTAAGAAATGATAAGAGCAACTTCAGTAGAGATTTGAAATAAACATTAGATATGCTAAAAGACTTTGATTGACTGTTACCTGTTTTCCTCACTACAAGATTTGAATAAAAATATATATGATGGATTTTTTTTCTTTGAACTTAGTAAGCAATTTCTTTTTTCTAGAAAAATTGTGAAAATCTATCCAAACTCCTATGAGTAATCACGCTCACAAAATTTGGGAGAAGAAATAATACTAATGAAAAAATATTCATGAACATAATTTAAGATAAATAAAATCATTCGTCTTCCGTTCTGAAGGGTAGACCCACTAAGCCGTTTTTTTTGTGTTTTATGACTAGTTTTAATATTTTTAACAATAATAAATATTTGATTTAATTCATAGATAAATAAAGAAATAAAGCGCTCATGATCATTACAAAGGTGAAATCTACAAACTTTAGTAATTGTATAAAAGAGTTTAAACTAATTCTACAAACTTTTTTTAAAATTTAGCCCTCATCCCTAATGTTGGATACGAAAAATGCGACTTTCAACGCAGATGCTATTACAACTCCCAGTGTTACGGCGGAGAATATTGCAAAATTATTGCCCGTTTCCCACATCCGATCGCCTTCTGCTGTTTAGGATGTGAGTATCTGTCCATGTCTCGTATGTAAAAATAACATGAAATATATATGATGCATTTTATTTATATTCTTCAAATTGACCATCTTTACTTTTACTTTTTTAGTTTGTCAAACCTTTTTCAAATTCCCTTTGATCGCCTTTTCTGTTCACATAAATTAAGAGTTTTGACAGTCAAAATCTTGAGTGGAATAGCAATATCAACTGAATTATGAAATACAATCTAATCTATTTTATTACAGATCACCCCGCTAGAGGATACTATTAAAACAAGAAATACGCGAGCCAGATCACTTCATTGTTGACTAAACAAGGATATTTGACTTTTGATACTCAATGTTCAATTTATAATTGATGCATTTGAATAAAACCTTGCATTTAAAGTCAACTGTCTCTATCAATTTTTATGTATACTTTACGAATTTTGACTTTCAGATCGACAAGTTGAAATTATTAACAATGTAATTAAGTTACAGAAGGAAACATAAGTAAATGGAGACTTATTCAGTCCTTGATATGGTCTAACAATTTAATTTTTACCAACAATGAACTCAACAAATATACAAGAAAGACACAAGGGGCCTAAATACTGGCATGATGCGAGGAATTGGTAATCATGCATTTCGACAATGTTCAATGTCCTATTTCTAAGAAAGTTTATAACTGATATTCATATATGGGAACTTTTCAGCGAACTTTACTAAAATCCCCTTACATGTCTTTAGTTTATCCTCTGAAACAGATGAAGTCCTACTAAATACATTGTATATGTACATTTATGTAAACACATAGTACATCGTTATAATTGTTTGGAAATATTATATACGCTGTGATAAAAAAATCAATTTTACTAAGAATAAATATGACGATCAAAAGACAGATTTTAGAGAAAAAAAACATTCGATCATCATCAACCTTGTAAATTTGAAACCCAAGGATCCAAGAATATAGTCCCGAGGACTGTTTTAGGACTGATTTCTTACAATATTGGAATGCTGTGAGTTTGTTTTCAAACTTGAATGGGACTGGGACGCACCGTTTTGGAACTCAAAAGTTCAGAAAGCGACTTTAGTGGTCGCAGCAATCCCCAGGACTGAGTTTCCTTTCTAATGCTTTTATTTTTCGTAGGTTTAAAAAATTGTGTCGAGAAATCCAAGACCCTTGCTTTGCAAGTTTCTTTGGACAGTTTTTCATATGCAGCAAAGGGAAAAAATAAAACAAGGATACTTTACAATTTTTAGACAGTAAAATACGCATGAGGAAAATGGATGTAAAACTGCACATACGGCACATCTTACAAATCAAATTCCACTTTTTTATTGCGGTGCAGTGTAGTATTAAATAGAAAATATAAATGATTTTCATAATTACAGCAAATATTTTGGCAATTATAAAATATGGCGATGGATGGAGAAGAGAACTGTTTAAACAGAATAATTTATTTTTAGAATAAAAGTTATGCTAAAAATTTGCATATCTACTGCTGTGTGCAGAAACAATCAGAGTTAGATGTAAAACGCGACTAACTGTTTAAGTAAATGAAAAAGGTTTGCCATTCTCTCGTCTTTTAAACAACGTTTTGAATTTTTGACCGAATTTTTTCCTCCATGAAATGATTGACAAATAAGGAAAACGTCGCCATTTGGATGATAATATTTCCATTTCTATTTGTTTTCTTTGTGATGACTGTTTGGGAGTTAGTGGAGTTGGTTTCTTGAAAATTCTACCGGAATGTAAATTAGGCAAATCCATAGGTCAGGAGTAATGGAGGCCTACTACGCATGTAAATCTCGTGCGCGTCTATCGTTGTATCTAAGGAGGTCAAAGAACTACGAACGATAGGATTGTCCCGCCTACCTCCAAGTCAATTTTTCAAAAACTTAACATTTCCGAATATTTTTATTATTTTTTATAGATATTTACATGGATTTTCATAAGACATTACTTACTTTGGAAACAAAGAGAGATATCTGTATAATTTTAGTAAAACTGTGTTTTTCACTATAGAAATCAACGGAAAACGGAAAGAATTTTTAAACATCCCCCCCCCGTACTCCAGCATGCTAGAGGTTCACGGCGAGATACTTTTGACTTGGCACCGCGTAACTGGGGTATATAAGGATCGTAGGGACGTTAACCGAGGCTCTTACTTGTAGGAGTCCCCCCTCCCCCCCTTGAAACAAAAATTCTTTTTAACAGGTAATATGGACTGTCATTTCACAAATTCACACCAAAGCTTTTTGTGTTTAACGGAGATGGGGACATATGTTTATAAAGAAAAAACGACAAAAATGCTTATTTTTTCACCAATTTCAAAGCGATTTAGATCTAAAACGTATTTTATTGATATATACATGTTTAACTTATTTGCGTAAATATAAGAAAAGATATAAGGAACATTAAAGAATATCCAAGACTATTTCAATATATGGTAAAGCATGAAAGTGCAATTTCAATGGAAGATATCATCTACCCCCACCCCTATTTTTCAAGAACTCAAATTGGGGATAATTTACTTTATAGCGCTGGTATTGAAATAATTAATCAGCTATCACTGAACTGTTCTTTGTATCAAACAAAGATTTTATGGCCAAAGTGCCATAAATATTGAATTAAATGGGTGTAAAATGTAGGCGGGAATCGAGAGTTAGAGTGTGTAGTTCCTTGCATGTAAATCTTGTGCGGCTGTCTTTGTGTTTGGCGTCAGTGGGCCAGGACTAGGTCCTATTGAAAATAACATGGGAGTGATTTAAATCTATTACTCTACATTTTTTAAATCTAAATCTACAAATTTATTTCACAAGGAAATGGAAATATAAGGAATCATTACCTAGTTAGTATAGTGTTCCAGGGATATCAACGATAGTGGGAAACGTAGGAACCTGTTTTACATAAATTATCCCACGTTTCCCACCATCGTTGATGTTCCTGACACACTATACCAACTAGAAAGTGATTCCTTAATAAAATTCAGGTTAAAGCTACATATGCTGTACATTCTAACAAGAATTAGATCGAAAAATGAGTAAGAATTGCCAAAGTCATAAACGGCTAAATTTGATAAAATTAAGGTTTTATTTTGTTTGCTGATTTTTTTTTTAAATTAAAAGGTATATAGAAGAAAAGAATTTTCAAATAATAAATTATCGTTGTTTCTTCATTACCAACAATATGTATGACTTCAGTTGTAATAAATGTATAAATATTTATTGATGTGATTCAATATGAACAAATAAACCTACAATGGTGATTGAAACTCTTCGTAAAATTAGTATGAATTCACCAAAACGTATACTCAGTAAATTGTGCCTCAAATGTTTGATTAACATTAATACCAGGCTTTTAGAATCAATGAAGAAACAATGAGAATTTCCAGAAGGAAATATGCACCGGACTAAAGGTAGGCCTTTATCCGACTTGAAATTTGACTGGAGGGCAAATCATCGCTTCTGATGAATAAAATGAACTTTTGCAAAGCAGAAAGGGTCTTTAGAATCTACGGAGGGATAATCAAAACAATTTTGATCTGAAGACCATAAAAATAAAAGAAAATGCTAAACGAAACATCAATATTTTTTTTGAAAATATTTTTTCCACATTATGTTATTATCTACAGAATAACGTATGAGATGTGGTTTATCCAAGATAAATAGATCTTTTCCTGAGAAATGATATGTCCCTGTTGTGCAAAATACCATTGTTTTTAACGTGAGTACTATTCCAGTTTCGGAGACAAATGTTCATGTTCACGCATTCGTGTTTCATAACACAAATTATATTGTTTCATGAAAGCCCAGAAAGGCATAATTTGTGTCTCATTTTCTTTTACAGATTCATGAGATTTTTCCTAATTTAATGGAAAGTGCTAAAACATAAGTGATTTAATAAATCCGTAAAATTCGCCATGATTTGTGGTTGAATATGATTTTTAAACAAACAATCGTAATTATCCTTTTTTTTAAATGGCACAACAGATTCAAACTACATAAAAAAGGTATTACTGCCAGAACATATACTAGTAATTATTAAAGTCGAAAACGTAAACCGTTAACGTATAATGGGAAATCCTTCCTGGTATTGTGATTGGAAATGAGAAGGGATTTTGAAGTGATATAAATAAGATTGGATTCGATTATCATTTTATACCAAAGCATGTTCGCTTCTGAAAGACAATTAGAGGCAGATGACACAGACCCTTTTTTTATATAGTTGAACTCTCCCTAATTTGCATTGCAAAAATCAACTAATGGTCAATTGATGGTCAGTTGATCGCCAGCTAGCATTAAACTGAATACTCCGATTGAATTCTAATGTTATTTTTTCGTATGGGTAGCAGTCAACTTAATACTCCGATTGAATTCTAATAGTGTATTTCGTATGGGATGCCATTATTTTCACACTGAATTTTCTCTGGATTGCCCAATCATTTTTGAATTTGCTAGATAGCTGAGTAGTCTTGTTCGCTATCCCTTACTGATAGGAGACAAATTTCGAAGGTCCCCTATCAAAAAAGTACAGTAAGCTATACTTTACTATAGTATCAACGTTTAACTATAATTAATCAAAGTATTTTTACTATAAATTTAGATCTTTTATTTTGTTTTTTCTTCTTTAAAATTCCTATAACCCATTTTCTTAAATAAAAAAGGATTTTTACTTTCATATTTGCATATAATACTATTTTTAAAAATACACCCTCGGTATAAATGCAATCTAAGAATTTTAAATATTAATTCTCTAAATCTTCAAAAAGGTTTTAAAATACAGTTTAAATGTAAATCAAAATAACTCTGTATTAACAATAATAAACTACTACATGTATACTAGAGTTTTGTCAGGGGAATCGAGAGTTCAACCCCGAGGTTGGGGCAGAAATGGATATACGAGGGCTGTTCAAGTAAGAAAAATATAAAAAAAACAATGTTAAACATTCTCTGGGAAATGAACTTTTTATTGGTCACGTGATCAAATCCTGTGAAGCCCGAAGGGCTTTTCAAGAGATTTGATCACGTACCAACTAAAAGTTCATTTCCCAGTGAACTTTTTAACATTATTCAAAGTTAAATCTACCCTACCTGAAAATGAACACACATGAGTTTCATCTTTCCTGTCTCAATGGTTCTTTAGAAGATATGTAAAGATTTTTTTCCAATATATTCCTATGTAAGACTTTGATCGGCTATTGTGGCTCCACCCTACCCCCGGGGGTCATGATTTGAACAAATTTAAATCTATACTACCTGAGGATGATTCTACACGAGTAATCATTCCTGGCCCAGTGGTTCTTGAGAAGATTTTTTTTAAATTCCATTAATTTTTCACGAATTCATAATTATCTCCCCTTGGAAGAGGGCGTGGCTCTTTATTTGAAGAAATTTGAATCCCCTT